TCTTCCTACGCACTAAGTCGGCTTAACCGTTGCAATGCTTGGACTTGGATGCACAAAAGCTCTCTAGCAAAGAAGTAAGGAGATATTATTCACATAAATGAATACTTCATTAAGAACGAGTGATTTGGTTGCTTGGAAATCTTGCTTGGTTACAAATGAGGGGGAAGGACATATATTTATAGTCTTCCTTCAAGTTTTAAGGAATATTCTAGAATACATTAGAATATGCGAGTTTCTAAACAGTTCTAAATTATTCTTTACATATACATGATTCTAAAACTTTCCAGAACATTCTCGAGTTCTATTGAAGCTCGTATCTTTCAACATATTTCTGGAATTACACGAAACATCTAGAAGTCTTTAGATTTTTCTTCTTCTTTCTAGTTTTCTCTAGAATCTTATTTTCCATAACTAAAAGCGTGTGGCTAACCCTTTCTTAAAATAGCCGTGTTCTCGCATCACTATATGAGCTCTGATCTTTGCTCTTTAAATTAAGAATTAGAACCTCATCAAATGAGTTGTTTTGGCTGGATGGACTGTGAATTGCTTTCAATAGTTGCATTCTACATACATAAATTCAATTCTTATGTATTTTTACATATATAATGCCTAAACTTCATTTTTTTACACATAACTTCTTACATGCACAATAAAAGATATATTTCTTTTCCTAAAATTTAATGTAGTGGTACTTCAGATGTGATATGAAATACCAAGATGTTATGGATATAGAAATTAGAAGTTTGGCAGTTAGATGTGTACATATATGTAAATATATAAAAATAGGGTGGCATGTATGGAAATGCCCCCAAAATGATGGGGGTGGCTTTCTACTTGTAGCACATTTTAATGAGATTTATTGTTGGATTTATTAAATCCATTAAAATACTAAAATGCAAGATTTTCATGATTCGTGAATTTCCGAATTTAGGATTTATAAATTTATTAAATTCTACAAGCACTCAATCATACTTGGACGCAAACACAAACTAAGACTTTCATAACCCGGTTAGCTACAATTAATCATTCAGGCATCAATCACGCTTACTAGAAAACAATACGTCTTGATCACGTGCGAACGATGGAGTGAATCGCATCATGTCATCAAACATATAACACGATACAATCCACATCATCGTCCACACATCCAATGATTAACATGACGTAACATTTTCTTCAAACTTGCTCAGAAACCTGTTAAATTGCATCACAAATTTAGCAATCACACTTACCGGAAAACAATACGTCTGGATCACGTGCTAACGTCTGAATCACGTGCGAAGGATAGAGTGAATCGCATCATGTCATCAAACACATAACACGATACAATCCACATCATCATCCACACATCGAACGATTAACAAGACGTAATATTTTCTTCACGCTTGCTCAAAAAACTGTTAAACTGCATCCCAAATCCGGCAATCACACTTATCGGAAAACAATATGTTTGAATCACGTGCCAACGATAGAGTGAACCGCATCATGTCATCAAACACATACAATCCATACCATTGTCCACCCATCCAACAATTAACAAGAGATAATATTTTCTTCACACTTGCTCAGAAACCTATTAAAGTGAATCCCAAATCTAGCAATCTCATCCTCCGGAAGAACCACACCAATCTCAACCCCTCCCCCATCATCCCTACTCTCCGCCATGGAAAAAGCTCCCATTCCCCCAATCGACGCCACCTCCACCTTCTCCGGCCTCCCCCACCCAAAATTACACTCATAAACCCTCAGCTTCGGCGAACCTGCAATCGACAACGGTCGGTGCGGCAGAATCTTCATCACCTTCCCAATCACCCCTTCCATTCCCTCATAAACATCATCTCCAATCCCCTCAATCGCTCTCCCTATCGCCTCACACGCCCTTAAAAACCCATCTTTTTCCTCAACAATATCTCCCACCTTGGCTTCAACAAAGCATGGGCACCCCAAGAGGTTACCGAAGTAGTTCGCCGGAGGCGGCGGCCGCATTCTGTTTCTCCAGTCGACTGAGAAGAAGAGATGGGCGACGCGGTGGGGGTCGTCATCGTTCTCCTTGGATTTGAGGAGGCAGGTCCAGGAATGGGCTAAGGAGATAACGAAGGTGGAAATGTGGAAGCGAGAGTGGAGTTTGAGTTTCAGGTTTTGGATTTTCTGGGAGGGGAGAGTGAAGGTGGCGGCGGCTAGGGTTGGGGACAGGGGGTGGGGGTGGTGGGGAAGGGATTGTTGGAGGACTATGTGGGCGAGTTTGGAGTAGAGGGAACGGGGATCGGGGATGGAGGAGCGGTGGAGGGATGGGGGAGGAGGAGGGGCGGAGCGGCCGGCGGCGGCGGCCCATGATTTGAGGAAGTGGATGGAGCTGAAGCCGTCGCAGGCGGCGTGGTGTGTTGTGACGGCTAAGCAGAGGCCTTTGTTGGGGAACAGGGTAATCTGCAGAAGATTAATTGTCTTTTAGCAATATAATTTATGAGATTCAATTTGATATTTTATTATGATTATAATTTATAAGCAGGGGGAAATTATTATTATTTTTATTTAAAGGGAGGAACTAATTAAATAAAAAAAATAATTCACATAAAAGAAAATGAATGGCACGTAATAATTAATTGTATTTACTATAAAAATATAAATAAGAGAAATGTTAAGTTATTTTTTACTTTTTTTTGTTAGAGTCAATACTTTTCGACCCGTTTATTATTTGAGGCGGGTTTCAGAATGAATCTATTTGGGTTGGGTCATTTTTGGGTCGAACTCGAACCCGACAAGTTGACCCTAATTGCCACCCTTACTTTCATCTTCCTTCTTCCAAATTGGCTTCTTATCCAAACCATTGAGAAAGATTCAACCTTTGTCTATCTCCCCCTTTCTCTCATCCATGTTCACAGAATTTCGCTTCTTTAAATTTGATACACCAACAACAAATTTTCATCATTTGAAAAAAAAGCTTGAGGTATGACACGAATCTTGAAATATCTTTAAAATAAGAAATGTTCAAATTTTGATTAAAAATCATCCAGTGCTCCGACTTCAATGAACTTACGAGACAAACCTAATGGTACCAACATTGATCCGGTTCGTACTAAACCGAGCCCCGATCAAACAGTTAAATAAATTTTGGAAGTTTTCTGGACACAATTGGAAGGTCAAGCAGATGTAGAATCTAGCGAGTTTATAATCAAATCAAACGTGTCGACAAAGAGAATCCAAAGAGCCCAAGCTCGCTCATTTCCGACATTGTTAAGGTTCTTAAAATGTCTACCAAATGTTGTCTCAAAAAAAAAAAAAGCTATTCAGACCGTTCAATTAAAGTAGTTCATATTTCTGAATTAATTGCACAAGAACACTATAAATAGAGCCCCACCAGCCTTAGGTTGGAGTAAGAACTTGAAGCTTTGAAAATTAGCTTAAGTCAAGCATCACTCATGCTGTCGTCGACCACCGTCTAAAATCATCGAACATCACCTACTGACCGCCACCAATCGCTATTGGTTGCCACCTATTCCTTGCAACAAGTTCATAAACACGTCGACGTTGTAATTCGAAAGACTTATGTGGGACAAGAAGTCTCTATAATCATCGACTTAGAGTGAATTTTTACAACTAGGTCAGACATCGTGAGTTTTCTCCTTTTTGAGTTTTTCATGTAAGAACTTCTAGTGTCTTCACTAGCAGTTTTCTTTATCTGAGTTTGTGCTAAATTATTGTGCAACACTAATACAATAATCTATTACGTTGTCGCTATGAATCTTTCAGCACACATCAAAATTCATGAATCAATTTTTTCAATAAGATTTACTAAATCCTCGATTGAAGGCAAAACAAAGGATAAAATAAGATTTAAAAACAGGTAGGATTAAAAGATGTCACTTTTGCTCATTTGCAAGATTTATGTTGAATCCTGCTTAAAAACGGCTGCCAAAGAACCCCTAATAGTTTGTTTGGGGCAATTGCAAATGTTTGAAGAAATAAGCTATTTAAATAAATTGCGGTGACTTCTACAAATTTTTTTTTTGAATTCTTAAAATCAAACAATAACTTTCTAGCAGTCACAACTCAGCGAAATTGATTGAAAACATAGTTTTTTCATGATAATTTTTTGAGAAAATGAAAAATTATTTCCTCAAATGTTCCCATCAACATGATGTAGACCACACCATACCATCTTCGCTGCCCCAAACGATCCTAAGCCTCATTTTTTCAAGAAAAAATCCCACTCAAATCATGCTAAGATGACAAATTGATAGAAAGGCCCCACTTTTTATAAAAAAATACAAAATTGATGATCAACAATTGCAATTACCCACCAAGATGTGTGCTTAGGTCCCATGATATGGTAAAATACTCATAATTATATTTCAAAACTAAAATTGTTCTTACACAAACGAAAAATAATAACACAAAGATTGCAAGGCCTAATTTTATCTTAACAAAAAATTTAAAGGAACATTTATATGCATAATTACTATGTATTTACATATCTCTCCTCTAACATTTCATATTTACTCATATATCACTCAACTCTTTAAATATAATATTAAAAATAGCACTATTATACTATTATAAAGTAAAGCACATATTTTCGTGTATAAATTTAAAGTACTAAAATGTTATATATATATATATTGATGCCA